TGAGTCGCAAGTGACCCAACGGCACATAACAACTACATACACTCTCTCTATATATACATTATATATATATACACATATATATACACAGACACATACTGTATATATACAGTTTATATGTTGTGTATATATACACCATATATATATATGTATATATACAGGCATATATATCTATGCTTTCTATATACTGTATCTATATATAGATACTGTATATTCTATCAGTAACTACCCTGTATCTATCTATACTGTATCATCTATGTATCTATCTAATCTATGATATATACTAGAGGTAGAGTCCTTAGATTGGAACAGTGGGCTATCAGAGATGATGAGGACAACACTGGATAGGTCAAGATTCTTTGATCACAGGTTTACTATGAGTTGTAGTCAACTCGATGGCACATAACAATAACACCCAGTTGAGATGAGTGACCTTTTTGTTAGCAACATAACACACCACGGACTATGCCACCTGAGTTCCCAGAGCCATGTTGTTGTTATTATGTGCCGTCTAGTTGGAATTGACCCATAGCTGACCTTCCAGTGGGTTTTCAGAAGCAGTCAATCACACAGGAGGACTACCCATCCATCTCCCATGGAGCAGCTGGTGGGTTCAAACCATGTGCCCTTGGGATTACAGGGCAGCTTCTTACCACTAGGCCACCAGAGCTCAGGACTGTTTAGTGTATGTGAAGCAATACTATAAAGTAATCCAGGGTATTTCCTTAGAATCTTTGAGGAAATCTGACTTGTAACTACCCAGAACAGTTTCCTGGGCTTTGTGTGTTACTGTGCAGTGGGTTATTTTTTCTGTGTGGGGTCTTGAACTGGGTCTCTGGGCAGAGCACATATCTGTTGAGAAGTGGTGCTGATGGGATGTGGTTCTTCTTGGCAGCCACAGGCCCTCAGTGGATGGAGGCTACCTGCCCACCCTCACTGGTTTTCAGGAGACAGGTCTGTCAAGAAGCCCTGTAAGTCAGAGACTCTGAAACACACCTCCTCTCTCTTTTCTGGTTTCCGGTGTGAAACAGTATCTGATGCCTGTTCACCCTTGAAGACCAGCTTTGGGGTGACTCTTACCCTAACAGAAAGTGACTTGTGTAACCACACAGGGTTTTCCCGGTGTCAGGGCTCCGGAAAGAGCAGTGCTGAAAGAAGTGATTGAACCTCATAGTTTCCAGTCAACTTGACCATGGAGGCGGGGTGGTTCCTCACCGGTGCACAGGGCTGAGAAGTTGGTGACACATCATGGGGCTTTCACTAACTTTTGTCTTGTCGAGTGCTCTGAAATTTGTCTTTTATGTACCTCGTGGTATGACCTGGTTGTTCCTGAAGCAAACAGTCAAAGCCAAACTCACTACCATAAGTCTGACTCTTAACAAAGGAGCTCTGGCAGTGGGCAGAGTCATGCAAGATTGGCACTTCTCTGGTGGTTCAAATCCACCAATCACTGCTCAGGAGAAAGATGGGCTCTCTCCTCCTCTGACTTCCAACCTCAAAAACCCACTGGAGGATCAGTTATGAGTTGGTTCTGACTCGATGGCAAGGAGTGTGAGAGTTTTTGTTTGCTTGTCTTTTAATAAGAGGAGGGTGCTTTACTACCCATCAGCAGCAGCTGGTGGGTAAGAACCACTGGTTAGCAGCTTCGTAGGCAACGTGGGACACACCCCAGTGCTCCCTGAGCTGAACAGCTCCCGGATCACCTTCAGTAACTGAGGGGCTGGAAAGACGCTGGCATTCCTGGTCTATCACAAGGGCCACACAGGACTGCTTTCCACAGGGCCTTTCACCTCCCTCTGTGAGGGAAGCAAGACCTTGTCCAGGGCCATGATGGGTGGGGCTTTGCACCCCAGGGGCTGGGACACAAGGCGGAATGCTGTTCTCTGAGGGCTTCTCTCTACAAGCCCCTTTGTGTATCTTGCTCTGCACGACCTTCTTGTGGCCGCTATGACAGTGCCACCAGCTGGGGGACTCGGACGGGTGTGTTCTCAGGGTTCTGGAAGTCGGAGCCCCATCTCGGTGCTGGCATGGCTGCTCCCATCTGCATCCCTGATTCCCTGAGTGATGCACCTTTTGCAGGTGCCCTGCTCCCTGTATGTTTCTGGTCTTTTCTGAGGAAATCAGGCATGCTGGGTTAGGGCCACCAGACTCCCTTATAACTTCATTGGAACACAACTAATGACACGTGACTTCAGGAGCGCTGGTAGCCTAGTAGGTAAGGAGCTGCACTACCAACCCAAAGGCAGGCAGTTTGAATCCACCAGCTGCTCCAAAGGAGAAAGATGGGCAATCCTCCCCCCGTCAAAGGAGAAAGATGGGCAATCCTCCCCCCGTCAAAGGAGAAAGATGGGCAATCCCCCCCCCCAGGTGGCCCCCATGTGATTAAGTGCCTTAAAACCCAGGGGAAGAGTCAGTTCTGACTCACTGCCAGCGATCTGGGTTTTGAGGTGGTCTGGTGGTTGAAGCACTTCGCTGGTAAGGAACACGTCGGAGGTTCAAAGCCAGCAGACAGCCCGTGGGAGAAGCCTTGGGAACCTGGGGCAGCTCTGCTCCGTCCTGCAGGGTTGCCGAGTCAGAGTCCACTTCATGCTCTGGCTTTGGGTTCTGGGTACTTACACCTGAGACACAGAGGCTACATTCACAGGTGACCCGCCTTTGTGGGAGCCCCAGATCCACCCACAAGAGACACCTAATTTCCCCTACTTCTCACCTCATCTTTGGTGCTGAGGCTTTTCATTCGGGGCGCTCAGAGTGTGGTCAGGGGAAGGAGCTCACAGTCTTGGGAAGAACTCTCCAGAACCTTCTTTAAGTATGTAAGTGTTGTCATGTGCTGTCACACAGGAGGCGACTGCCCACCTGTCTCCTGCAGAGCCGCTGGTGGATTTGAACCGTCTGCCTTCGTGTTTGAAGTCCACCTCCTTACTCACTAGAGGTCGCTAGGATTTAGGCAGCTGAATCAAAGCTCGCATTTGTCCTGCCCGTCCTGGGGACCACTGGGAGACACCCTCTCTGCTCTCAGCCAAGAAAAATGAGCAGAAAGTGACTCCTTTGGGCTGAAGGTCAGCCGCCCTCTGGAGCAGATGGCTGGGCGTGTGGCCTCCTGGGAAGGTTCTGGAATGCTTGCTCTCCTCTCTGTTTTTACACTGCAGAGGCCAGCAGGATGCCAAGTCCTGGGAGAAGGGCTGGTGTGGAGTGTGTAAGGAGGTGCCCTTGATGAGCACAGCAGCTGTGAACACACAGCTCTGCAGGACCTCACGGGGACCAGAGAGGGCGGAGAACCTGCCGAGGTCACACAGCCCCCAGCTCTCTAGCTCCAGACGACCCTCCCCCGGGTGTTTCTGTGGGCTGGGCTCCTGCTTGCTCATCCAGGTCCCTCTGGTCAAGTCACAGGCAGATCACACTGTGAGCTCTGCTCCCAGCACTCAGGGGAGGAGCCTGCCTCCAAACCCCAACTTGGGAGAGAACCTGGACAAATCCTCAGGGATCTGAGATGGGCCAGGTGTGTCCAGCCCCGGCAGCTCTGGTCAGGGAGACGATTTATGAGAAGGTGGATGTGTCTTTCCACTGAAACTATCGACTTGGCAGCCCGAGTGACAGACGACAGCAAAGAACAAAGTGCAGGGAGAAATGCAGGAGCATTTATTACAGTCGTGACTGTTCTCATAATTAACAACTGGTAAACCAACCAAACAGAATATTTTGCATTCAATGATCAAGAGCCCAAACAGCTGAGAGGACAGGAACACAGCCCCTGGGGAACTGCGTGGCACTTCTGGCTGAACGAGGAGATGCAGGATGCTGCCTGAATCTGGAGCAGAGGGAGGGAGCGTGCAGACCTGGTGCTGCCCATGACCCTGGTGCTGCCTGTGGCCCTGGTGCTGCCCATGACCCTGGTGCTGCCCGTGACCCTGGTGCTGCCCACGGGCCTGGTGCTGCCTGTGGAATTCTGGCTCAAGTCCCGAAGGGAGGCAGAGGTGCTGCCCATCAGTGGTCCTGAAAGCCATCGTCAGTTCACACCAGCATTTCACGATTGGGAGACACAGGGCCTTGGGGGCTGCCCGCCGACTGCCAGGAAGCCAGGCAGAGAAGAATGGAGCTGGACTCTGAGGTGGGAGTGGAGAGGGCTTCTCTCTGAGGGAGGAGGCAGGTGGGGCTGCCCAGCAGACAGGGTGGCTGTGACAATGGCCTGGGCCAGGTTCCCAGGACCACTGCTGACCGGCAGCAGATAAGACCATCAGGGACCACGTCCGGAGGTCTTTCTTAGCATCTGAACAAACGCACCCACGGCGACCCTCAAGTGAGGTTCCATGGCCGTCAATCCTCATGGGAAGACACTTGCTGATTCTCTGGGTAAGCGGCTGGTGGATTTGAACTGCTGATTTTTTTCTTAGCAGCACAACATGCTGCGTGCACTAGCCCCCCGTGCTCCTTCAAGTCATAGTAAAGGAGCCGTGTCCAGCAGGGTGTGCTGGCCTCCAGGCAGGGCATGGGCCGACGAGCTGAGCCGGTGGACAGCATGCAGGTGGGGCTCAGAGGTGACAGGACCGCTCTGGAGCTGAGCATCTCTCCCAGGGGCTTGGTGCTTGGGGCAGAGGCGGTTAGCACAATCACCTGCCAACGGGGAGGCTGGAGGTTCAACCTCCTCCACCCCAAGCACCTCGGAAGCAAGGCCTGGCGATCTATTGTGGAGATGCCAGGTGCCGAGACTGGTCTGGAGCATAGCTCTCCCGGACACAGGCGGGTGTCTGTGAGCCAGAATCAGCCCAGCAATGGTTGGACACGCCAGGCCACACTGTGGAGGGAGACCCAGGGCCCTGACCCTCAAACCATCTCCTACCGGGTCAGCCGGCACAGGTCCAGGGCGGCTCCACTGCCAGGATTCAGGACGGGGATGGAAGGCACAGGGGGAGGGCTCTGCTCTGGCCAAGGTTCCCAGCAGGGCAGAGTCCGGGGGGGACGAGCCAGCTCATCGGGTGGTGCCCGGGGGCCGGGCTCTGCGCCGCTCACTTGCGGGGCTGCTGAATGTTCTGGGTCCTCGGAGACGCGTGCTTGTCCATGGAGGCGTGTGGCTTCTGGTGGGCCACCTGTGCAGCCGCCGGGGGGAAGTCCTTGTCACCCTGTCAGGAGACACGAGCACACGGGCGTCACACGCTGGCCTGGCACCCACGGCACTATGGGGGCACAGTCTGCAGGGAGCAGGGCGCTGGCAACGTGAACCCTTCAGCCACTGAGCGTGTGAACGACGTGCAATCTCCTCCCGTGCTGTTTATACCCTTGGGACCCCAGTCAGGGGGCAGTTGGGTCCCACTGGACAGTGAGTGAATGAGTGGGTGAGCGTATGAGGCCCTCGACTCAGGACACAGGACCCCCCACCCCTCTGCTGGTGCCCAGGGGCCTGACTTCACTGGACTCGTGCACAGAGGGGCCTCTCTGCAGGGCAGTGGGTGTCGGGACTGGGAGGAGGGTGAGTGGAAGTTGCCTTGGGAAACAGCACTGTCCTCAGAGCACTAAGGACCACACGCCAGCGAGGAGGTGAGAAGGGGTCCCCTCTGACCATAGGCACCGCTGTGGGCTCAGTGGTAAGGAGTTGTGCTGCCAACCCAGAGGCATGTGGTTTGAATCCACAAGCTGCTGCTCTGTGGGAGAGAGGTGGACAATTACCTCCTGTGTGATTTACAGCCTCTGAAAACCCACTGGAGGATCAGTTACGAGTTGGTTCCAGCTGCACGGTCCACAACAGTAACAACAACAACAAGGCTCTGCTGTGAAGTGCAGGGACACGGCCACACCTCATCCGGGACTGGGCTGGACGCCGGCGGGCCACTGTCCTCTCTCCAGAGATGCGCCGGGGGTGGTCTGACCTAGAGGCTCGCTCTCTCGCTCACATGAAGCTGTTCAGTGAGAACTGACTCACGGCTGACTGTGCAGCAGCAGAGGCTGTAAATCGCACGGGAGGAGGCCGCTCATCTTTCTTCCTGAAGAGGAGCCGGTGGATTCGAACCACCAGAGAAGTGCCACTTCTGGGTTAGGAGCACAACTCCACACAAACCCGGCCACCAGTGCTCCCCTGACTTGGAAGCTACAGAAGTGAAATCCAAAGTCTTACGGTCATCGTCGCTATCATGGAGCAGGCGTGAGGGTAAGGATGGGAGGACAGTGCGTGTCTGGGCAGGGCTGAACACTGGGACACAGGGCCCCCCAGCACCCCTAATGCTCCGAGTCTCAGAAGGACATGTCCACGGGGCTGCCTTACAGCAGGGCATCGGCTTGCTGTGCCAACCGTGAAGGTGGTGTAAGAGCGAGGGCCAGGCAGTGACCTCAGAGCACAGCAGCATTCTATGGCGTCATCTGGATGGACACGCCACTGTCTCTGCTGGTGTCTCTGGATGGCTGGGGCCACAGCTACACCAGCAGAGATCACAGTTCCTCAGACACCACAGAACAAGGAAGATAAAGGGAGGCAAACCCCCGAGTTTACCCAGGGGTCAGCAAACTCTTTCCTTAAAGGTTCAGAGAGTAAATGTTCAGGGCTGTAGGGTCACTGTCTTTTTGCAATTATTCCACACTGTACTGCAGCCTGGAAACTGGATGTGTCAATGACCTGGATGTGTCAATGACCCTGTGTGGCCGTGTGCCGACACAACTTTATCTGTGGACATAGAAACCTGAATTCCATATAATCTTCTGTGTCATAACATTCTCTTTTCATTTTTTTTTAAACTTCAGGACAACCTTTTAGTTTTTAATTTATTTGGTATTTTAAGGAAACATCTTTTTTTTTTTTTTAACTATTTAGAAACACCCACGTTCTTGAGTCCTGCGGCACCCAGACACACAGCCCTCTGTCTGTAGTTTGCTGACTCCTGGGTTAGTCTGAGAGAGGGGGTCTGGTGAGGAGGGGGAAGGAAGGGTGTCTGTAGGATGAGGCTACAGGCTTGCTTTATTTCACTGGCTCTGACCAGCAGAACCTGCACCCTAGGAACACCCTAACCCCAGCCCCCGAGTGACAGGAGTAGTGCTACTCGGAGGAGCTCAGTGGGTAATGAAAAGAGAAGGAACTGGATCACAGCTGGTGCTCGGATTGGATCAGAGAGGGCCTCCCATGCCCCTCCCACGTGCTCAGATGGGGAAGGCGGTCTTACCCGGGCCATCACACCAGAGATGTACACGGTCGGCTTTGGGGGGCTGCAAAACAAGGAAAGAAAGGGCCGGTTTAACAGAGCAGAGAGAACAGGGACAGAGTGAGAGTGGCTGGTAAACAGTAAACAGTGGCTGGTCAGGCAACTCCGACAGGAGGAAGGACGGGCCAGGTCTCCTCCTCAGGGATCGTCAGTCAGTCACCTCCACCAGGCCACTGGTGTCTTATGGGGTCCACTCTGCTTTGGACTGGCTAAAGACAGAGCCAGAGACGACGAGGAGAGGTGGCGGCCAGAAGGTGCTTTACCTAGACTAAACCTCTTTCGGTGGTTGCCCTTAGTTCTGAAACCATGACTGCTCAGCCCTTGTAGCTTTCTAACCAAGGGTGGAAGCAGACACTTGCCCCGGCTGCTCCTGGACACTGCTGTCTGCATCAGCCAGGTGCGCCTCCCTCAGGAGCTTCCCCTTCTGGAAGCATCCAGGAGTCCACAGCTTCCTGGGATGTCTGAGGGCAACACCTCAGAGCCAATCAGTCTCCCATCTCTCTGGGTCTCCCAGATCCCAGCACACTCCACCCTGGCTCCTGGGTCGCGCCTCTGTGGACGGAACGCAGTGATGCCAGCTCACAGCTGGGCAAGTGACAAACAGAAAGCACAAAGTGGGTGAAGCCAGCTGCAGGTGTGATCTGCTTCCAGGGTACACACGCCCACATCCGCGTATACATCAGAATATGTCCGCGTATACATCAGAATATGTGCACGTACACAACACTTTTTAATGGCTGCTCCTGTGGTTATTTCTGCAGTACAAGACACAAGTGAGGGCAGTGTCCTGGGGGCACCATGGGATGCCCTGGCCAGAGGGGAGGAAGCTGAGAGAATGGGAGGAAGAGAGCACATCCTTAGGTTGCTGGGAGTAGGGGCCCACAGGAGCACCATCAGGTGGGGACCAGGGACGGGAGAGGTGGGCAATAACGTGGGGAGGTGGGAGGGCAGGAGAATCCGCAACCACACAGGGACAGACAGAGGAAGCATGTGATCACACAGGAGCAGGGAAGCAGAAAACCAGAAAACGCTACCAGATGGGCAGGCAGGGTGAAGGACACCCCTCCATTATGGCCCAGCTTTGCAAATCAGTCTTCATCCCTAAACTTACACCCAGCATCCCTCCCCATCCCTTCACCCCTCGGTCCCACCACCCCTCAGCCCCACTCCATTTTCCTTTTTGCCTGAAGTTCCCGGTGGTCCTTAAGAAGAAAACACTTGCTTTTGCTTTGTTTTGCTGAGGGCGAAAGTTCAAACACTTAGAAAGGTCACGGATTGGATAGTTTACAAAAACATCCAAAATCCTACCAAGAAAGTCGCCAGAGACCCTAGGTGCAACAGCTCTGAACCGTGCCCTGTCCTGCCCCAGTCTCACCAATTCCAACTCACCCACCTCCACTGCCCCAGTTACTGTTCAATCCATTCTTTTCCTGCTCTATCCCTCCACCCTTCTGAGCATTATGTCCTTCTCCAAGGACCCATCTCTCTGGGCCATATGTTCAAAGTATGTGAGATGGAGCTTCAAAATCTTAGCCTCCAAGGAGAAACTTGGTTTCACTCTTTCCAAGACAGACCTATTTGTTTTCTTGGTAGTCTACGGTATGTTCAAGACCCTTCTCCAGCACCACAGCTCAAAGGCATCAATTCTTCTGTCAACCTTAATCACTGTCCAACTCTCTGATGCATAGCAAGTAACTACAAAGCCAATGGCCTGGATCAGGCACACCTTAGTCTTTATACTGACATCGTTGCTTTTCAGTACTCTGGAATGGTCCCTGACAGCAGATTTACCTAATGCAATTTGTTTTTTGATTTCCTGACTGCTGGTAACAAGGGTGTTGACAGTGGAGCTGAGCAAAGTGCAACTGTTAACAACCTCAGTCTCTTCTCCATCCATCACAGTGCTTGCTGCTGACTGTCCCAGGGGCGAGAATCTTTGTCTTCTTAATGTTGAGCCTTAACAGAGAGCTGTGACTGTAGGACTTTCTCATAGAGTTGTAAGAGAATAATATTCTGCTAAGGACTCGATTTCCAATAACTCTGAACAACGATGAAAATACAAATAACAATGAAATTTGACTCAGCCAACATTAGTACTTCTGCATTTAAGATAAACATATAAATGACACAAAGAGAAATTGTTACTAGCTACTGTCACCCAAATATGTGTTCTTGACCTAAAGCAACTGCTTCAGGTCCTCCTCAGTTTCAGCAAGCAAGGTTGTGTCATGTGCGTAACACAGGTTGTTGATGAGTCTTCCTCCAATCCTGATGCCACATTCCTTGTCATAAAGTCCAGCCTCCCGAATATCTGTTCTGCATACAGATTGAAAAGGTATGAAGACAGGATGCATCCCTGATGCACTTCCTTCCTGATTTTGAACCATGCAGTGTTTCCCTGGCTCTGTTCTGAGGACTGCTTCCTGGTCCAAGTATAGATTTCACATAAGCACAATCAAGTGTTCTGGGATTCCTATTTTCGTCGGGGTTAGCCACATTTTTTTTTGTGATCCACACAGTCAAATGCCTTTGCATCGTCAATGAAACACAGATAAGACATTGCTCTGGTACTCTCTGCTTTCAGCCAAGATCAATCTGACCTTGGCAATAATGTCTCTAGTGCTAGGACCTCTTCTAAACCTAGCTTCTATTTCTGGTAATTCTCAGTCAGTGTACTATTCCAGTCATTTTTGGATAATCTTCAGCAGGATTTTGTTTTGTGTGATGTGAGCGATACGAGTGATACTCTACGTTAATTTCCACACACTGTTGGGTTACTTTTTGCAATGGGAATAAATATAGAATTCTTCCAGTCAAGCAGTTGTCCTCCAGATTTCTTGGCACAAGCTGGTGATCGCTTCAGGTCTTACTAAGCAGATCCCTACCTCAGCTTCCTGTGTCTTTTGTGCTTAACCAAGTGGATGTGCTTTTTCACATCTTGACTGAATAGGCGTCGTGAAATTGAGGAGGACTTGAAATGCCAGCTGCAGAATATCAGAACTACTGCCTCCAGTATGGATTACATCCCAGCATCAAGAAACAAAGGCCTCCTTGTGAAATGAAATGTCCAACAACAAATGAATGCATTGAGAAATTATAGTACATCCACACAATGTAATACTATACAGCACACAGGAGCAATGATTTTGTAAGACAAAAGCTGTCAAGGAGTTCATTTCACAAGGATCTGCAATGAATATACTTTACCAAGTTTTGTGATATCAGCATAACCATAAAGACCTGCTATTCTGATATTGCAATATGATCTGCTTCTACTCAGAATGTTTCAGCTTCATAATAAAAGTGTTGCTATTAAGTAAAAAAAAAAAAGAAAGAAAGGCCCCCATCATGGGGCCAACAGATAACATCGTGATAAAGGACTGAAGCTGTAGGTGATTTAATCTTGCTGGGATCAATATTTAATACTTTTGGTAGCAGCAGTCAGGAGAATGGGAGACATACTGCATTGGGTAAGTCTGCTGTCAGGGACTTCTCCAAAATACTATAGAGCAATGATGCCAGTTTGAAGATTAAGGTGCACCTGATTTAAGCTCTGGTCTTTTCAAACACTTGCTATGGATCTAAGAGCTGGACAATGAATAAAGATGACAGAAGAATTACTGATGTCTTTGAGCTGTGTTGGTGGAGTACTGAATAGCCCTTGGAATGGCACAAGATGAGACAGCTATGTCTTGGAGAAAGTACAGCCAGAACGCTCATTGAAGGCAAGGACGGTGAAGCTCTGTCTCACGTACTCTGGGCATGTTGTTAGGAGCGGTTTTCCTAGGAAAGATATTTCATGCTTGGAAAAGGGTGAGAGCCAGCGAAAGAGTTCCTCTCAATGAGATGAGTTCCCCCAATGAGATGGACTGAAACAGTGACTGCAGCAACGGGTTCAAGTGTTTCTGACATGATGAGGACGGCACAGAATAGGACAGGGCTTGGGTCTGTTGTCCGTGGGCTCTGTATGAGTCGTACTCGACTCGATGGCACCTAACAACAATAACTACAGGATTCCAGCCAGGTGGACAGAGAGCGTGCAGGCCCTGGTTCAAACCCCCCTGCAGGTGCAAGGGCTCAGCTTCAGTCAAGCCGAGCCTACCCGCACCCCAGCCAGGCTCTGTCCATGGGGACTCAGCTCAGGCCGCAGGGGGCCAGATTATTGATTGCTGTTGGCTGCAGGGGGATTCTGACACCTGGCACCCCTACAGGGTGGGTACACCTGCCCCATGGGTTTCCTCAGCTATGATCTTTGGGAAATGGAATGTCTCATCTTTCTCCCACTGAGCAGTGGGTGGTCTCAAACATTTGACCTTACCATAAGCAGTTGAGCATTTAGCTGCTGTGCCACCTGGGCTCCCGGTGGTCCAGCTCGGGGCATCGCATCAACATACACGAACAGGCGACGGGAGTGGTGTCACACCTATGCTCTCCTGGGCTGCTGACACTACCCTCTGATTGGCCTGAGTGAGAAAAAGGCCCCTAAGGCAAAGAGGAACTGCCCTGCGGTCCAGCACACCAACAGGGTTTCTGCAGCACACCGTGCTGGGTCTGTGCAGCACACCGTGCAGGGTCTGTGCAGCACACCGTGCAGGGTCTGTGCGGCACACCATGCTGGGTCTGTGCAGCACACCATGCAGGGTCTGAGCAGCACACCGTGCAGGGTCTGTGCAGCACACCATGCTGGGTTTTTAAAATCAGCACAAGCTGCAGACTTCTCTAGCCTGGGGAGCAGAGGAGGCTGAACACAGTACAAGTTATCTCAGCTCTGTCAGCTCCAGCTAGCCTTCTTCCTAAAGAAAGAGTCCAAAATAGGCTTCCCAACTCCCCAAACCTGCACCATAAGCTAATTTCAACTCACAGTGACCCTCCAGGGCAGAGGAGAACTGCCTCGTACGACTTCCAGAGTGTTAATCTTTATGGACACACACTCTACCTTATCTGCTTCCCTCAGAGCCACTTGTAGGTTTGACCATTAACCTTTTAGTTAACAGCTGAACACTG